TTAATCTCAATCTTCGAATCGTCATCATCAAACAGCTTCACACTTCCATTCTTATCTTTCGCTTTTCCCATTTTTCACAATTTTTTTGGGGCTTTCCTTCAATTATTATAAAATTTTTTTTTTTTTTTTTTGGGTTTCTTCACCGGAGCCGTCGTGGCATCAGCTGCGGGTATTTTATTTTCTTCACAAGGATTATAAGTTTGCCCACCTCACCACAATTATATTAAAAAGAGATGTGTACTTGGAATTTTGCTGATAAGAGCTCGAGCTTTCTCAACAGATGAATAGTCTTTATGAATCTTTGGATGGAGGAATCGACAAGGGCAGTGGTAGAAGGCGGCTGGGATGGTTGCGCTTCGACGACTTGGAGTTGCCAGCACCTGAATCTGGTCAACTGGATTTATTGGCGAGCTGACGGGTGTTGTGGTGTGGGTCGACGATGGTGGGCTGGGTTAATAGATAATGAGTTGGACCGGTTTATTGATTGGGTTTAGGTTATTGGGCTTGTGGATATATTTGTATTGTGTGGTTATAGATGGGCTGGATTTATATAATGGGCCTGATTTATGGGCTGTAGTTTAAAAGGGTAATGGGCTATTATTTTGGTTTTTTTTTTTTTAGGTTTGCTGCAGTTTTGGGTTATGGAATTTTGGGTTTGCAAGGATGCTGCTCCAAAAAAAAAAAGGACATGGGAGTGCGGATCGTTGACTTTTGGTGAGTGTAGACCATTGAGTTTTGGTTGCTCCGGTAATGAGCTAGAGTTTTGAATTCTCGGAAGGGGATCATCTTTGAGTTTTTGGTATAGGTCGTTTTGTAGGATTTCTTCCACCTGCAGTATCTGGAGTTTTGGCCGGAGTTTTGGCATTAGAACTTTTGTTGGAACCCGAATTATATGTTCAACTAAGTTCTCCCGACACTTTTAAGGAAAATAATCATGCACTATTGGAAAAATATCGTAGAGATTATTCTTTCCATATCTTCAACACCCGCCCTCAAACTCAATATGGTGTAGCAGCTATCAAATTGAGTTTGAAAGATAAATCGATCCAATCAAATCTTCAAAATT